ACCATGATCTCCAACCAAGGTTTTTCTTTTCCCATTGGTGTGGGCATTAATGTTTGCTGGTTAGTTCAAGGTAAAACCCTAAGCATTTTTCACTTGGCTCTTGTGATGTATGGTTTTAAGCATACTGTAACAAATAGCTTTGTTTTCCCAGGAAAGCGACGTTATGACAGGAAGCAGAGTGGCTATGGTGGACAGACTAAGCCTATTTTCCGGAAAAAGGTTAGTGGTAATTATTATTTAACAACTTTCCCACTTACTGTGGTATTGGGTCTTGGCGTTTGTCGTCTATAGTCCACACGTCTGAAGAGGCAAAAATCAAGGAATGCACCCTGTTGCCTAAGGACTGGAGTGTGAGTACTCCAGTAGTTCCTTACCTTGTTCCTTATCTCTTATCATGTTTGAATCCCCACCTCTTGGTTGAAGCAAGCATTGTAGTTATTTTGCTTCTCAGCCTACAAGCCTGCAGTGAATCTGCTGCCTGTTTCTTGAGGTCTCTAAGCTCCTTAGACTAGTCAAGTAGGCCTGCCACTGGCCTCCTGAATTCTGCTTTGTTATCCTCAGGCTGAATGAGTTTCTGTCCCACTCCAGGCCCTAGGCTATCACTTAACAGTAGTTTTGCCTGGATGATGTCATAGCATTCCCTGTAACTTTTCTTTCTGCATTTTGTGCCTCAGCCAGCCTGGGTGAGACAGTATTAGGACATTGATTTAGTGTTCATTTGGGTGCAGTTTGACCTCGGAGTGGTAAACAGAATGCTTGAGTGCCTTTTCATGTTTTGGTAACTTGTTTTGAGGGTGGGGAGGTTCTGTCAACATGTTAGGGTTTGGTCTTTCCAGAACTGCAGATTAGCAGAAGGAGAACTGGCTAAAGGGGCAGACTTAAAATGGAACTTTAATGGGGAAAGTAGCATGAGATAAACAATTCAGTTGGATGTACTTGAATGCTGTACAAAATTATAGGACGATTTGGGAGACTTGATCTTTTAAAAAGAAGCTTGTTTAATGAATTGTGTGAGTTGTGTTTATATCCAATGGACATAGGCTTGGTTGACTTGTTTTTGTGTATGTGGAATGTTATGACCTATGCAGAGCTGTTGAAAAGCCTCAAGTTTCAAGTCATTTGAATGAGTAGTTAATTGATAGGAAGTTCTAGGATCTGAATGAAGATTTGGAAGTGGACCTTGGTAATTAGATAACCCATCACCTTTGCTGTTGCTACTCTCTCAAATTCACTGATTTTTACATTATCTTCTCCCTATAGTTAAAGACAAGTTGTAGCAATTTTCATTTGCAAAGCTTTGTTTTTAAATAGTACTAAATCCATTATACTTATGTTTATTAAAAAACTGATTTTTCTATAGTGGTTTATCAGGGGTTTGACTTAAATCTTCCAGGCAAAAACTACAAAGAAGATTGTGCTGAGGCTTGAATGTGTTGAGCCCAACTGCAGATCTAAGAGAATGCTGGCTATCAAGAGATGTAAGCATTTTGAACTGGGAGGAGATAAAAAGAGAAAGGTATGTAATTATGGGTGGAAGGTAAAGTCTTTTCTGTATAGCTTTAATTCTGTTTGGAGAAGTGTTCTGCTTACTCATTTTATTGTGGCATAGAGATCAGGGGCAATCTTTAGAAAATAACTAGATCCCCAGCTGATTTTGATCTTGATGTAAGTGAGAAAGGAACATTGAGACTTGCCTTAATATAGTCTGGTGCTCTCTTAAGGAAAAGTTTTTTTTTTTTTTTTTTTTTTTTTTTTTTTTTTTTTTGCTACAGGGCACGTGTGCTCAAACTCAGCATTTTTTTCTGTTCTGTTACAGGGTCAAGTGATCCAGTTCTAAGACTCATCTTTTCTATTATGAAGATGGCAAAATCCTGAGGTGAATGTTCACCTCATTTGATTACAGTTGGTCTGTTTGTAAGGGAATAAAGTAATCAATAAAATTCCCCTTTTGGGGAAATTTGATTTCATGGTACTACTTGTTTTGAATTAAATCTGGCTGGCTGAGCTCACATCAGATGTTGTGATCATCTAATTTGGCATTTTAACCACTTGGGGCTTTGTGAGATCTGATCAGCATTAAAAAGCAAAGGTTAAATATTTTTATGTGGAATAACTACAGAGAATATTAGAATAGGATTTCTGGGGTATTAAGCTCCCCAGTGGAATCATACAGGCTATTCTGTCCATTATTTAAAATGCCTCTTAATAGTTTCAAATTATACATCCTATTCAGTCTTGTTTATGATTGCACAGGAATTGTACATGTTTTTGGAATGCAGCCTGATTTGGTATGTGCATACATTGCATATGGACCAAATCAGGTTGATGCCCTATCCATCACCTTAAATATTCATGATTTCTTTGTAATGAGAACAGTCAATGTCCTAAGTTGTAGCTGTTTTAAAATACACATTGTTAATAATCCTACTATGGGATAAAGAATTGACTCCCACCTATCATATCAGCTGACCAATCTCAGCCATCTTCCCCCTCGTCCAGCCTCTGGTAACTACTATTCTATCTCTATGAAAACAACTGTGTTCTATTCTATACATGACTTAGATCATGCTGGATTTGGCTTTTTGTGTGGGACTTATTTCACTTAATGTCTTCGCAGGGCATCCATGTTGTTGCAAGTGACAGGATTTCATTGTTTTTAAAGGCTAATTTTCCATTGTTTATATATCACCACATGTTGGTCCATCCTTTCATGGACATTTGATTGATTCAGCTACTGTGGAAAGTACTGCAATAAAATGGGACACAGGTATGATTGACATACTTCATTCATTTGGAATATATACCCAGTAGTGAACTGCTAGACCACAGGAGTAGTTCTATTCATGTTTTGGGACTCACCTCCATATTGTCCATTAATGGGTGCACTAATTACATTACCATCAACTTTTTTTTTTTTAAATTTTATTGTCATTATCTTACCAGAGAGACAGTGAGAGAGAAGGAAAGCAAACTGCCAGGTCCAGGACTCGAACTGTAGTCAGTTATGTGGGAGTCCAGACGCCTTAACCACCACGCCACCTGATGGCCCCTCCATAAACTGTTAGGAGGTTCTCTTTTCTCCACATTCTTGCTAACACTTGATTTTTTTTTTTTTGACAGTCATCCTGGCTGGAGTGATATGATCTAGTTTTTATACTTCATATAAGTGAGGTTGAGCACTTTTTCATGTCCTAGTTGGCCATTTGTCTTTTTGAAAATGTGTTTAGGTCTTTTGCCCATTTAGTGCTTTTTTTTTTTTTTTTTTTTTTGGTAGTGTGAATTTCTTATTGACCCCTTGTCAGATCGAGTTTGTAAGTATAGGCTCCCATCCCATAGATTCTTTTTTTTTTTTTTGGTAGAGGTTTTTGCTATAGGGCGTGTGTGCTCGCCAGAAAGATAGAGATAGAAAGCAAGAAATCACCCCCCAGGGGGAATGGCCACGCAGCAATCCCTTCCAATCCATTCTCGGGATCTTGGGCGCGCACGCACATGTGCCCAACTTGAGTTTAAGCCGCTGGGTCCGGGACTAGAACCGTGGTCGACTACATGGGAGTTCAGCGACACAGTCATTACGCTAACTGCTGGTCCCCTCCATCCCATAGATTCTTTTGCTCTGTTAATTCCTTTACTGGTATATGGCAGCTCTAATTCTGTAGCAAGACTATGCAAGTCATGTAATTTAAAACAAGTAAGCTATACTTCTTTTTTTTTTTTTTAGAATTTTATTTATTCTTTGACTTGATTTGAGCAGAGAGGGAAAATGAGGAAGCAAGCCACCAGGTCCAGTACCTGAACCACAGTTGTGAGAGTGTCCAGCACCTTGACTACCATGCCACCTGCTGGTCCCTGCTATATTTGTTTTTTTAAAAGATTTTTGCTGTAAGGGTCCATGTGCTCACCAGAGACAGAAATCATGCCCTGTGGGGGGATGGCCACACATAGTCCTTTCTCTAGGGATAGTGCCTAGCATGATTTCCTTTTAAAGGATTATTTAATTTCATTTTAAAAATTTGCCATAGGGTATGCCTGCTCAGTAAAAGCAAGAGAGAGGGAAGATGAGAAGCAAAGGTACCAGATCTGGGACTCAAGCTACAGTCCACCATGTGGGAGTCTAACACTTAACCACCTTGCCACTTGCTGACCCCACCTGGCATGATTTATTAGCCACCAGGTCTGGAACAGGAATTATGGGGCTGGCCATGTGGGGATCCAGGTCCTTAACCTCTATACCACCATAATTGGAAGTGCATCTTGACAAGGTGGAGCAGTTTCCTTCCTAATTATATACCCATAGGTGAACAGGTCTGGGTTTAACAATTTTATTTAACCTTTTAACAATTGGGGATTTTGATCCTCCAATTTAAGTGGAAATAATTGTTAATCATCTGACAGGCAAAACAATTTTTCCAACGTACTTTGTGTTCTTAAATGGGCCTTTGAGTATGTACGTTCAGGATGAGTGAGGTGCTTGCCTTTATATTTTTGCTCATATAGAAGGGTGATAGTCATATAGAAGGCTTGAAGCCTTGACAATTTTTTTTAGGCTTTTGCTATAGGGCATGTGTGCTCACAGAGAAGAGACAGGGAAAGTAAATTATCACTTCTTGGAATCTTAGCCATGCACACATAAGCACCGAACATGATTTTCAATCCATAAAGTCCAGGATTCAAACCACAGTAGGCCATGTGGAGTCCAGCATCTTAACCATTATGTTACCTGCTGACCCTGACAAAAGGTTTCTTAGGCAAACCAATTGTGGAAAAAGTTGGGAAAGAGAATGAGAATCCCTTTGAAATTATCCATACCCACATTCACCAGATTTAAGATCACTGCCTCTTGTAGGGCCCCATGAAATAAGGCAGTTCATCCTAAGATGGAGGGCAGTCTTCTGGACAGAGGTACACAAGCTTGTCTTACAAGGAAAGTTCATGGAAAGAAAATATGAGTTTGATGCTAATATATTTTGAATGCCACATGTAGTCCCCCCCCCCCTTTTTTGGAGAGGTTTTTGCTATAGGGTGTGAGTACTCATCAGACACAGAAAGCGAGAGATCACCCCCCTCAGGGGGGATGGCCACGGTGCAGTTCTCCTTTCTCTTCTCTGGATCTTGGGCACGCATGCACAGGCACCTGGCATCAATTTAAGCCACTGGGTCTGGGACTTGAATCGCGGTCAACTACATGGGAGTCCAGCGAATGTAGTCCAGCGACAGTCATTACGCCAACTCCTGGTCCCCCTAGGCTGTTCTCTTTAGAATACCTTTAGAAGCATTATTTTAAAAATTCCAACAGGAAAAGTTTATTCAAAGAAATAGAGCATTTTTAAGTGGGAGTAGGGGAAAAGATGGACAGGAAAAGTAGGGTAGTCATTTTGAGAACAAAATACACATTTTAAGGTAAGCTTTTTTTTTTTTTTTTTATAAGTAGCTTGTTTCTTCTATCCGAAGCAAAACAGTGCCTGTGGGATTTATTCGCATTTTCAAGCTTGAAGTCCATTGATAAACCCCCACCTTCCGTTTCACTGGGAGGAGTTGTGTGATGAGGCAGGCAGGATTACAGGCCACTCCTCGACCCAGAGAAGCAACTGGGATGGAATAAGAACGAGGCCCACCAATTTCCAGCACATTGATCATTGCTACAGCCCAGGCTAAGTTTGAGAGAGGTCGTTCCCACACCTCAACGTTGTCTTCCTGAAAAGCCAAGAAAATAGGTGTGATTGCTTAATAATGCAACAAGCTGCCTTTTTAGTTTGGCATTCATTCTTATTTTTAGA